CAAAGGGGTAGCAACTATTAAACATAAAAAGAAACAATACTACGAAGAAATGATCGATAATAATAAGAATAATCCTATCGATATGTGGAAAGCTCTGAAAGAAGTAATTAACGGAAAAGAGGAAAGAAATATTAGATACGAAGAAATTAAATTTGAGGAATAAGAAAGGGGTAATAAGATGGATATAATAAATCGATTCAATATGTATTTTATTAATAGTATTAAGGAAATAGTTTTAAGCATTAATAGTAATATTAGTATTGAAAATGAGGAAAATATGAATGAAAGGAACGAAACACAGGAATGGGAAGATTTCGACGCCGTGACAGAAGAAGAGTTAAGACAGATAATACAAGAAATGGCCATAAAAACTGGGACTGAGGAGGGAATATCGACACTAGTACTAAAGGAGATCTACGAAGTAATAAGTGAAGAGTTCTTAAATGTAATCAATTCCTCACCGAAAGAAGGGATATGCCCTAAAGAATGGAAGATATCGACTGTTACACCCATACCAAAAGTGTATAACACACTGAAAGCAAGCGAATACAGACCGATTAATGTACTACCGACATATGAAAAAGTATTAGAACTCATAGTAAAGAAACAACTTGAGAAATTTATAGAAGCTAATAAAATACTTATAGAACATCAATCAGGATTTCGAAAGGGCCATTCATGTTATTCGAGATCGAACGTTCGGCTCGATCTCTCCTTCTGGAATCTTCGCGCGAGAGGAAGATTCTAGAAAATAGTTTATAAGTATTATCACAATAGGGGGTCTCCTTGGATGGTTGTCGTAATGTCACGAGCGGTATAAGGAGATCCCCTTGAGTGAATATTGTCGAGCGAGAACGATCGCCTCTCTTAGCGAGTCAATATTCCCTTTGTCTCCGAGTTTTTCTAAACACATGAAATAGGAGGATGAAAATAAACCGTCGACTTTCGACGAGACCGGGCCGTCAGCTGAGCCCCGCGTGTTTCGAAGGAAAGCGGTAGATACCAAAACAGCTGATTGCCCGGTCGAGCGGTCGCCGACCTGAAAACTGTCTCGCTCATTGGCCAACCCCCCCGCGGTTGGGCTTAAGATTTCCGTTATTTCGGGGAATCGCGGAGTGTATATAAGCTCCCGAATTTGCGCGGGCGGCGCACTCGATCAGAAGTTTTCCGGAGACAGTGTGTAATCTCGAAAGCCTGAAAGTTGATTGCTCGTCATCTTTACCAGGCGCGAACGATTCGACGCTAGTTCGGTCGCGATTGTGTGCCGAGGCATTTAAACCTCTTCCGACGAAACGCGTGACGCGAAACACGTTGTGAAGAAGTGCACGTGACGCGGTTTTTCTGTAGCCGCTCGCGAACGCGCCGGTTTCTTGCTGCTCTAGCATTCCGCCGCGTAATCTCTGTATAAAAAACAAAACCATCAAAAAGAAATCCGCCTAAAAAACATTGAATTTTCTAAATAATATGTTCAAAAAACGCGATAGAAAAACCAAAACCATCAAAAAGAAATCCGCCTAAAAAACATTGAATTTTCTAAATAATGTGTTCAAAAAACGCGATAGAAAAACCAAATATATTGCCATGAAAAAGGAGTGAAATCAAAATGTTACTCCAAGTATATTTATCAGAGATTCACTGCCAGTACTAGAAATATATAGTTTACGTCACGCATGCACTATATATTTTCAACACTGGCAATGAATATCGGAACGCAGCCTTAATATAAAACATGAAAGACATTTAAAACATTTAATACGGTGGCCAAATAAAATTTTGAGAATATGAAATGCAATAAATGGCACAATAAAGAGGCGTAGAAATTGAAAAAGGAGTAATTACGATAACAAGCAACAAATTATGAGAGACAAAAATTGAAAATGGGCAAAATCTCCAGCAGCAGCTACTTGGCGCGCCCGTTTTGCTTATATTTACAACATTATTATAATATTAATATTTTCTTGAAGGTTCTAAGAATTTATTGATCTTTATACTCTTCAATAAATACTTATAACCTTCAAGAAAATATTAATATTATAATAATGTTGTAAATATAAGCCAAACGGGCGCGCCAAGTAGCTGCTGCTGGAGATTTTGCCCATTTTCAGTTTTTGTCTCTCATAATTTGTTGCTTGTTATCGTAATTACTCCTTTTTCAATTTCTACGCCTCTTTATTGTGCCATTTATTGCATTTCATATTCTTAAAATTTTATTTGGCCACCGTATTAAATGTTTTAAATGTCTTTCATGTTTTATATTAAGGCTGCGTTCCCATATTCATTGCCAGTGTTGAAAATATATAGTGCATGCGTGACGTAAACTATAGATTTCTAGTACTGGCAGTGAATCTCTAATAAATATACTTGGAGTAACATTTTGATTTCACTCCTTTTTCATGGCAATATATTTGGTTTTCCTATCGCGTTTTTTGAACATATTATTTAGAAAATTCAATGTTTTTTAGGCGCATTTCTTTTTGATGGTTTTGGTTTTTCTATTGCGTTTTTTGAACATATTTAGAAAATTCAATGTTTTTTAGGCGGATTTCTTTTTGATGGTTTTTTTTCTATTGTATATTATTTTTAAAAAATATAATTGGCGTTCTTTTACATTTTTAATGTCTTTTATGCGGATTTCACGAGTTTTTGTTAAGTATTTTTGTCACAATAATAATCATATTACATTGCTACTTAATTGCTAGTAAGCGAGAGAGAGAGAGAGAGAGAGAGAGACGCCCGGAGATGTAGAAACGTGGAGAAGTGCGGAGACGCGGAAAAGATGCGCGGGGACGCGGAAACGCGGAAAAGACACGCGGAGATGCGGAAACGCGGAAAAGACGTGCGGGAAAACAGAAACGTGGAAAAGACGCGCGGAGACGCGGAAATGCGGAAAAGACGCGCGGGGACGCGGAAACGCGGAAAAGACGCGCGGGGATGCTGAAAAGATGCGCGGGGACGCGGAAACGCAGAAAAGACGCACGGGGATGCGGAAACGCGGAAAAGACGTGCGGAGTCGCGGAAAAGAAGCGGAAAAGACGCGCGGGGAAGCAGAAACGCGGAAAATACGCGCAGAGACGCGGAAACGCGGAAAAGACGTGCGAGGACGCGGAAAAGAGGCGCTGGGACGCGGAGACACGGAAAAGAAGCACAGAGATGCGGAGACGCGGAACCGCCACGTGGGGGCGCGGAAACGCGGAAACGCGGAAAAGACCCGCGGAGACGCGGAAACGCGGAAAAGACGCGCGAGGATGCGGAAACGCGGAAAAGTTACGCGGGGACGCGGGAACGCGGAAAT